ATATTATATATATATATATATATATATATATATATTGTATACACACATACATATGTATATATATAGTATATATATATATATATATATATATATATATATATATATATATATATATTATATATATATATATGTGTGTGTGTGTGTAGTGCACACACACACACACACACACACACACACACACACACACACACACACACACACACACATATATATATATATATATTATGTATATGTATATATATATGTGTGTGTGTGTGTGTGTGTGTGTGTGTGTGTGTGTGTGTGTGTGTGTGTGTGTGTATGTGTATGTATATATACATATCACAAAAAACCTTGCGAGAATTAGGGAAGGAATAACTGAGTATCGGCTGTCCCGCTCCCCTGCCTCTCTACTTTGAATCCCACAGGACGACGTCTACAGAAGGAGGTCGGATTATAAGATGCCTTTGAAGTGGACAGCTCCCGAGGCATTCAGCCAGGGCCTTTACACCTGCAAATCGGACGTCTGGTCTTACGGAATCCTGCTGCATGAACTGATTACACATGGGGACATTCCTTACCCAGGTTAGTAATGCAAAGGCATTTATGGTGATGGCAATGAACATAACAACGGCGGAAAGGTGCGCACAAGATTACAAGATTACAAGCACACATACAAATATAAACAAATAGAATACGTGTACCATGTAGCATCAGAATCCCTGCGCATTCGGACCTTGTCTGACTGACACAGAAAAGCCGTTTTCTGGAACTTTTGTCCTTCATTGTGCACCACGAATATGGCCAAGTTTCTTCAATGTACAGTTGTCGGGATACACGCGCAAATATTTAAATCCATATATATGTATGTATGTAAACACACATACACACACTGCTAATAAATATTACTCATAACCTTGATGACTTCCTTGATAGGCTTATTATCAACTTTTTCTCGTATTTTACTTTACACTTTCCCTTTTACCTTAAGCAAAATCTCCCCACAATCGAACCGCCCACTGAGTTCAGCCTCTTCTCTCTTGCAGACTTGAATAACAGGGAAACCACCTTCGAAGTGTGCAATGGCCACCGCATGGCGAAAGCTAATGAGTGCCCCGATATCCTCTACCAAGTCATGTGCAGATGTTGGCAAGAAGATCCGGGCGAAAGACCTTCTTTTGCTGAACTTAAGCCTAAGATGGAACACTTCGCGTCTGTCTATTGCAATCTGTAATACCATACGTGTGTGTGATTGCCTTACGTGTTGTTGTTTTTTTGTTTGTTTTATTTTTATCTTCCAGGGTATGCGGATAGTTTACCCTTGTATCTGGAGGGAAGGTACACGTACGCATGTACACACATACATGCGCACAGCCACGCACAAACACATGAAGTATATACACATATGTACACACACACACACACACACACACACACACACACACACACACACACACACACACACACACACACACACACACACAGCGTTAGAATCTTCCCCTTATCAGAGTGCACAGGGATGCCTGATATAATCTGCGTGAATCGCCTAATAGATCTATGCTCTGACGTTACGATAGTAGGTACAGGTAAAAGTTATTCGTTCGATCGGCAACTTCTGAGTCGGTGTGACCCACAATGATGTCCGTTAATTAATGTAGGACTAGGGTTTAAGCTAGAATCATTACTCGTTTATTAATCACACCCTTCTCACCCTTTAGAAGTCGCTGACATTTTTGGGTAAATCCCAAGCGATCGTGTGATTCGTGATAGATACCCTTATGGCATGTCAGCCCAGCTGCCCAGCGTCGCGTCCTCACGCCACGCCACGCAGCCCAGCTGCCCAGCGTCGCGTCCTCACGCCACGCCACGCAGCCCAGCTGCCCAGCGTCGCGTCCTCACGCCACGCCACGCAGCCCAGCTGCCCAGCGTCGCGTCCTCACGCCACGCCACGCAGCCCAGCTGCCCAGCGTCGCGTCCTCACGCCACGCCACGCAGCCCAGCTGCCCAGCGTCGCGTCCTCACGCCACGCCACGCAGCCCAGCTGCCCAGCGTCGCGTCCTCACGCCACGCCACGCAGCCCAGCTGCCCAGCGTCGCGTCCTCACGCCACGCCACGCAGCCCAGCTGCCCAGCGTCGCGTCCTCACGCCACGCCACGCAGCCCAGCTGCCCAGCGTCGCGTCCTCACGCCACGCCACGCAGCCCAGCTGCCCAGCGTCGCGTCCTCACGCCACGCCACGCAGCCCAGCTGCCCAGCGTCGCGTCCTCACGCCACGCCACGCAGCCCAGCTGCCCAGCGTCGCGTCCTCACGCCACGCCACGCAGCCCAGCTGCCCAGCGTCGCGTCCTCACGCCACGCCACGCAGCCCAGCTGCCCAGCGTCGCGTCCTCACGCCACGCCACGCAGCCCAGCTGCCCAGCGTCGCGTCCTCACGCCACGCCACGCAGCCCAGCTGCCCAGCGTCGCGTCCTCACGCCACGCCACGCAGCCCAGCTGCCCAGCGTCGCGTCCTCACGCCACGCCACGCAGCCCAGCTGCCCAGCGTCGCGTCCTCACGCCACGCCACGCAGCCCAGCTGCCCAGCGTCGCGTCCTCACGCCACGCCACGCAGCCCAGCTGCCCAGCGTCGCGTCCTCACGCCACGCCACGCAGCCCAGCTGCCCAGCGTCGCGTCCTCACGCCACGCCACGCAGCCCAGCTGCCCAGCGTCGCGTCCTCACGCCACGCCACGCAGCCCAGCTGCCCAGCGTCGCGTCCTCACGCCACGCCACGCAGCCCAGCTGCCCAGCGTCGCGTCCTCACGCCACGCCACGCCGCCCAGTTGCCCAGCGTCGCGTCCTCACGCCACGCCACGCAGCCCAGCTGCCCAGCGTCGCGTCCTCACGCCACGCCACGCAGCCCAGCTGCCCAGCGTCGCGTCCTCACGCCACGCCACGCAGCCCAGCTGCCCAGCGTCGCGTCCTCACGCCACGCCACGCAGCCCAGCTGCCCAGCGTCGCGTCCTCACGCCACGCCACGCAGCCCAGCTGCCCAGCGTCGCGTCCTCACGCCACGCCACGCAGCCCAGCTGCCCAGCGTCGCGTCCTCACGCCACGCCACGCAGCCCAGCTGCCCAGCGTCGCGTCCTCACGCCACGCCACGCCGCCCAGTTGCCCAGCGTCGCGTCCTCACGCCACGCCACGCAGCCCAGCTGCCCAGCGTCGCGTCCTCACGCCACGCCACGCAGCCCAGCTGCCCAGCGTCGCGTCCTCACGCCACGCCACGCAGCCCAGCTGCCCAGCGTCGCGTCCTCACGCCACGCCACGCAGCCCAGCTGCCCAGCGTCGCGTCCTCACGCCACGCCACGCAGCCCAGCTGCCCAGCGTCGCGTCCTCACGCCACGCCACGCAGCCCAGCTGCCCAGCGTCGCGTCCTCACGCCACGCCACGCAGCCCAGCTGCCCAGCGTCGCGTCCTCACGCCACGCCACGCCGCCCAGTTGCCCAGCGTCGCGTCCTCACGCCACGCCACGCAGCCCAGCTGCCCAGCGTCGCGTACCTAAGCGACGCTGCCTCCTCGGATATAAGGATCGCACTTGACCGGTCAAAGAGAGTCTGTGCCCCGCCGCTGTCGGGTCAAGAACCTCAGGGCGTCGGGGGTCCCTTATGCCCCCCGCCAGGGCTGACCGCCGGCCTTCCCGTTGACCGCGCTAACCCAAGAGTTTTCTCGTGTCTTCATCTCTCTGTGTGTTTAACTCTTAGTAGTAAAGAGTCTCAAGCCACCAAGCTTTTACTACCCTGTTACCAATATATAAGAGGTCAAAATATGCATCCTTTACAAAGTAGTCTTTTTAGTTTGTGTCTTGAGTATGAAAAGTGGGTCGAAACATCAGTATTCTTAAATTTTGTATGGTCTTTGAGAACATTGAGCAATTTGTGTTGATATTCGCATTTGGTTAAGGTGATGGCCCTCACGACCTTTGTCGGGTTTATTATTGTTGTCGTTTTCAAGCCTCTGTAGAGGTGATGAGAAAACTTCAGAATCAGTAAACTTGGTTCACTTGAGAATTTCTTGAAGGCATTATTGGCCATGTTTTTTTTCTGGTAACATTGTTGAAATTGTTTTCTTCTATACTGGTGGAGATTTCACTAAATATGAATCCTGGTTGAGTTATTTGCTGACCCTTGACTAGAAATTTCTCTGTCTAGGAGTACAAAACACCAGGTGTGGGTTGTGAACACTACAAAAAAGGAATTTGGGAATTACCTCATAGTTTTTACAAAGATTCTGAAATATGTGCTTTTGCAGCTTTTTGGAGTGATACGTAAGGTTATCGGTCCTTCTACATGTATCCAGTGCTGCCTTTACATATTTGTTTATAATGCATGTCGTGTTAGGCTTGCTAATTGGGCGTTGAATAATAAGAACGAAGAGTTGGGCTAATACGACCGTAAAGAACTTCATATTCATTTGCAAACGTTTCGAAGACAGCAAATCTCCATCATCAGTGTTGTAATTAATGATCCAATAAAACAAAACGCAACTAGACAGTAGACTATGTAGTTCTAAATGAAATACCTTCAGTGAATGTTAATACAAAAGCAAAAATAATGTACATAAAAAAGACATAACATCATACAAACATACATACGAATAATATGACATATAAACGAGAGAGAGAGGATAGAAGGTAATAGAGTAGGAGTTGATATATCGGAGTCTAACGCGTGAACAAGGTGGTTGCTGTGGAGGTGTTAAGTCAGCTCAGGAGTAATTTTCTGTACAAACTAGAATTCTGAAACAAGAAAGTTATTATAAACAATTGTTTAAATAACTGTTGAGAGATGTTCAAGGTTGTATAATCTTATAAGAAACGAAATACAAAAATATGGAGTATTGCGTTCTTGCAAAAAAAATAGACGTGATCCGATGCTAAGAAATGCACTGTTCGAGACTTAAAACGCCTCTAAGCAAGCACTAAAGTTTGAGCAGCGTTGCTAATCTGCACGAATGACTCTACTAAGCGTCAAAATTCTACACTTAAACTTAAGTATCTTCCACTGCAAACATAGATCAATATATCTACCCTAACCTCTCTACAAAGCATAATATTTTCACCTAGATGCATGTACAGTGACAGTGAAATAGCGACACACACTTCCTATTGGCAACTCTGAATCCCACGCGCTATCATTGAGAATTACCAAATAAAAATGCCATCAGCAATATATATCCTTTCCACATATACAATTGTATGAAGTTGAAAATAAAAGCCACTGAATAGAAAATCAACCGAAGAATGCTATTTGAAATTTTGAAGAAGAAGAAAAAATCTGCCTTCAAGAACTGTAGGCTATTATTTAATATTATTATCATTATTATTGTGACGGTCTTTGTCACTCTCATTATGAATATTATTATTACGATTATTATCAATATTACAATTATTAAGATGATGATAATGACAATAGTAATAAAGATAGTGATAACAACAATGATAATGAAAATAATAACAGCTACTAACAAATTTCATTACAGGAACAACAGAAAGAAAAAAAAGCTATTGACATTTTTTTAAGAACTCAGGGATCCCCCAGTTAGATAATTTCATTGAATGAAATGAGTGATTGATACACACATTATCTAGAATGCCTAACACCGTCAGTATATGCATGTCATACAGTAAGAAACAAGTCTTTTTTTTACACAATCCAATTTTCTTTCAAGTGATTAGTCTATTCAAAATCGTTTTGTAAGAACAGTCCCATAATGCGTAATGTTTCAAATTTGCCGACAAAGGGCGTGGTCATTGGGCGTTGGCATTGGTGACTTTATTAGTCACACAATAGCTCTATGTTCTGTGAACCATTCGTAGAGAGCGCCGACTAATTTGTATATTTTCAGCCCCTGGCTGCATGAAAATCAATAAACCGATTATTATTATTATTATTATTATTATTATTAATTAGCAGGAGAAATTGTCAAAATTTACCGATTTGCCGAAAAAATGCAGGTTTAAGGTTTCATTTGCCGACAGATACTTTTTTCAGGGGGGGTGTCACACCCCCACACCCCACCGTCGCGACGGCTCTGGGTAGATATAAATATATAACTTATCTACCTTTGTGTAGTATTAAAGACATTTATTACAGTTAATTCTTGCAATTGTCAAGCTATAAATATATATGATTAGTACTATTTTCATACTTTAAACTGTGATCTGAAAAAAAAAGAGATTATATTTTCACACCTACAAGTATTGGGAAAAAATATAACAGGCAGTAGTCGTGGTATGATCAGTGTTACATTTGTGGTCAACTGCATGAACAGAGGGTTGCAACGCCGATATAATTAAAAGAAAAATAAACGCTATTTGCTAATGAAACCAATCTGTCCAATTAGAGAGAATGGTTCAATCTGCCAGAGCGTGCCCGCAGTGATATAAGCGATGCTGCAGCAAAGGCCAACAACAACAACAACAACAAAAATCATTCGTCTGCAGTTAATTGCAGTTGCTTTGAATATATTGTTTTGGAAATTACATAAACAGAAACCGTAAAAAATAATTCCTCTGATAAAGTATAAAGCGGATTCGAAAGCGTGTAATCCCGTACGATACGCGAACGACGCTGTTGCCATGGTGTCGGTACACCGCTTGACTTAGCAAGCGCAAGATAGAAAAAAAAAAAAGTCAAGAACGTCAAGAAATTTCCCGGTTTAAAAAGCCTTTATATTATGGTCTAAGGTCAGGGAATTTGCCCGCTTTTAGTTTGGCAGTTGCATATCTGCACAGCAAATTTTAAGGG